CTGCAAGTTATAAGAGAATTGGGCGATGTCTAGGAGCCTTGCCCAATCTTTCTGATACGCGCTTACATAATTCCTCAAGTAGAATTATAGTAAGGCATTGACCCGTTCTGTTTGTCCATCCGTTTGTGGGTGGAAACTAGCGGAAAAGTGCAGCTCCGTGCCAAGTATGTCGAACAACTCTCTCCAAAAGTTTCCAGTGAAGCGGGGGTCTCTATCACTATTAATATGCCTTGGTAAGCCCTAATACTTCACCACGTTCTTAAAGAATAGCTTGGCGGCTTCCTTGGCTGTGCAACCTGGTGCGGCGGGCATGAAGGTGGCATATTTGGAAAATCTATCCACGACCACCATAATAGTACGATAACCGCCAAACTTCGGTAGGCAAGTGGTAAAGTCCATAGTCACGCTCTCCCATGGACGCTCTGCAACTGGTAGTGGCTCTAAAAGTCCTCCAGGCTGTTGTTGCTCAACCTTGTCCTACTGACATACAAGACAAGTCTGCACATAACATTCTATGTCATCTCGCATGCGTGGCCAATAGTAGACTGACTCAACCAAGTCCCTAGTGCGACGTTGGCCTGGATGACCAGCCCACATTGTGTCATGACTCTCCCTTATGATCTGCCGTCTAATGTCTCCAAACTTAGGCATGTAGACCCGCCGACCCGTGGTAAGCAATAGGTCGTCTTCTACCCAAAAACATCTCGTTTTGCCCTGGTTGGCAAACTCGATAAGTTGTTTTGCAGCTGGATCATGTTGCGTGCCTTCTTTTATAGCCTCACAAATGTCCCAACTTGCTGAAGTGATGGAAGCAAGCTCGGCTTTCCGGCTCAAGGCATCGGCTACAACGTTACCTTTGCCCGGCTTGTACTCCAGCACAAAATCAAACTTGGCCAAGAAATCCTGCCATCTAGCCTGTTTTGGTGTGAGCTTCTTCTGCATCTGAAAGTAGCTAGTAGCCACATTGTTAGTCTTGACCAAGAACCTCGACTCGAGCAAATAATGTCGCCATGTACGAAGGCAATGCACAATGGCAGTCATCTCCTTCTCTTGCATCGTGTAACGCCGCTCCATCTCATTTAACTTGCGGCTCTCAAATGCTATGGGATGTTTATCATGCATCAGGACACCCCCAATGGCAAAGTTTAAGGCATCTGTGTGCACCTCAAATGTCTTGGCAAAGTCAGGTAGCGCCAAGACTAACTCCTGTGTTACAGCTGCCTTAAGGCCTTCAAACGCCTTTTGACAATGCTCCGTCCAAACCCATGGCTTGTTCTTCTTTAGCAACTTAGTCAGTAGTGCGGCCTTTGCTAAGTAGCCACGGATGAAGCGGTGATAGTAGTTAACAAGGCCAAGGAAGTATCTTAACTCAGTTACCTTTATAGGTGTCTCCCACTCCTGGATAGCACGTACCTTAGCATCGTCCATTTTTAGCTTGCCATTTCTACACATGGCCTAAGAAGTGCACCTTTGATTATGAAAACTCACATTTCTCCCTCTTGATGAATAGCTTGTTCTCCCACAAGACTTGGAAAACCTTCCTTAAGTGCTCCATGTGCTCCTCCAAGGTGTTGTTGTAGATGACTATGTCGTCTAGGTAGACTACCACGAACTGATCAAGGTAGGGATGAAAAGTTTTGTTCATAAGGGTGGAAAATGTGGCCGGTGCATTGGTTAAGTCGAAGGGCATCACCAACCACTCAAAGGCTCCATATCTCGTCACACATGTTGTCTTCGGCTCATCCCCTTCTACAATGCGAACCTGGTAGTAGCCTTTGCAAAGATCCACCTTGGTAAAGTACTTGGCTTGCCCAAGTCTATCGAACAAGTCAGCAATGAGCGGGATCGGGTACTTGTTTTTCACTGTGACCTTATTAAGTGCTCGGTAGTCTATATACAAGCGCAATGATCCATCCTTCTTCTTCTGGAACAATACTGGTGCACCGAAAGGTGCTTTTGATGGGCGAATTTGACCAGCATCTAGCAGTTCTTTCAATTGTTTCCTAAGCTCCTCTAGCTCGGGCGGTGCCATAGGATATGGGGAAAATGTGGGTGGCTTAGCCCCTGGCTCCAACTCGTTCTTGTGATCCACCTCTCGCCTAGGCGGCAAGTTCTTAGGCAACTCCTCGGGCGTGACATATTTGTTTTCCTCAAGCAACTTCTCTAAGCAAGGCGGAAGTATCTCTTGAAAACTCTTGTCTTCCTCTAGACTTGCAATGGTTGCCACGAACGTCGGCTCCCTCTTCTTGATCCCCTTGACAACCTGCATAGCTGAGAGTTGTGCTTGGATCTGTCCGTGTGGTATAGTCACTGTAGGTACCATGCAAGCTCCTTCTCGCTCCATAACCAACAAATGTTGGAGGTAGGGGTCGATCAAAGTATAACAATGTCTAAAGAACTCTTGCCCATGTATAATGTCGATATCTATAGCGGTTATAGTAAAGTTTGTCATACCTTTCCAAGCTCCCAATATGACACCAACTCCATTAGCTACCCCACGAGCATTTGGTACCTCGGCATTCATGGTCTTGACGCGAGAGTTGGTTGGAGCAAGCTTCAATTCTAGTCTCTTTGCGACACCCTCAGTCACGAAATTATGAGTTGCTCCAGTATCCACCATTGCACGAGCGGGCTTGTTATTGATGGTAAGATCCACGTACTGATTGCCATTCTCGGTAGGTTGGATAGCTTGCTTCGTGACAATACCACATAATCCGATCATACCCAGCTTTGCGGTTCCCGAACTCTCTCTTTGCGGCTGCTCCTTCCGTTCACGGACCATGGCACTGAGGCTCTTGAGGTCGGAATAATTCCTGAAGCCGTGAGGCCCTCTGCATATGTAGGATCCCTTCTTCTCGTCCTGTGCCTTCTTCTCGACATAGCCCTGACGACCACTTGACATTTTGGAATCTTGAGTCTTGGAGTATTGTTGTTGTATCTCCTTCACTTTGCCATGGTCTCCCCCACCTTTGACATTGTTAACCTTTGACTCCTTGTCATTGCCTTTGTCGTGTTTGTCATGCATGAAATCCATCAATGATTCGGCCTCCACTATGGCTTGGTCTATATCAGCGACTTGTCGGTGTTGCAACTCCTGCTTAGCCCAATTTTGCAACCCGTCCATGAAGTGGAACAACAAGTCATCATTGGTCAGGTTGGGGATTTGAAGCATAAGGGTAGTGAACTCCTTGACATAGTTACGTATGCTCCTTGTTTGCTTCAACTCCCTAAGCTTGCACCTTGCCTCGTACAACACATTGTTTGGAAAGCACTGTCACTTGAACTCGGCTTTGAACTGATCCCACGTGATAATAGTACATAGACATTTATCCAGGTTGGCCATCTTCCTTCTCCACCATAGCATGGAAGTCTCTGAGAGGTACAACGCGACAGTGTTGATCACGGCCTCGTCATCCCTTACTTTTCTGTGCCTGAAGTAGTTCTCCAAGTGCCAAAGGAAGTTTTCCACTTATGGTGCATCACAAACACCTTTGAACATCGGGGGTTTGGGAGCCTCGATCTTAGCCTACCTCATCACCACAACATTGTTGTCTGCCTCGGTCACACCAGCATCGACATGCTCCTTGATTGACTCTATCTTTATCTTCATAGCATCGATAGTACTCAAAGCCTCCATGAATCTGTACTCTAAGGCGGTGATTGTTTGACTTAGTTCCATCTCGGTCTGCATACATCCCTCCAAGTAATTTAGGAGACTCTCAATCTCTTCAAGTGTGTGCCCCTCAAGAACGTTAAGGGTTCCTTCCACCTTCCCCAAGCGTTGGCCAAAGATCTCCACGGCGTCCATCCCCGCGTTCATCTCTATCACCCACTCTTTATCGAGCGAGACGTCCTCGAGAAGGACCTCTACTTCGTCCTCGCTCGCCTTAGAGGCAGATGGTTCCTGGGATGGAAGCCCCTCGTTTGGCATAATCTCGGGCGACACCTCCTGGATCTTGTTGGTGGCATTCCTCTTTTTGTTATGGCCGCTCTTGCCAGCAGCATCCTGGATGACGTTGGCTTGGGTGTTCGCAGCGTTAATTTCTCCCTCGTTCGTCATTCCCTTGGTTACAACCTTTGCTCTGGTACACATTGTCACATCTTTAGTCGTTAACTAAGTACACGTGCGGCACTTGACAACTCGCACACGATCTTGCATAACTTACTCACGTTCTTGCTATGCCAAGTCAGCCTTTGTACACTCAAGATCGCTAATAGAATGGTAGAAAGAACGCAAGAGATTTGTTAAGGGAAGCTTTGTATTAGAGAGAACTTGAATTGTTTGCTTGGTGAAGTACAAATGAATGGCCCCCTTTATATACTAGTCTCCTAGGGTCTAGTATGTAAATATTAATTGTTACACAAGTCCTTAATATTTACAAGATAAGGATTTTCTCTAGAACTCTCTCCAAACCTAGAAGATTCCAAAGATTTTCCTAGCAAATCCATAGGGATCTAGGGCCTTCCAAAAGAAATGTCCATACTTTTCTAGAATCTTCTTACAAATGCTAGCCTTGCTCCTATGTAAGCTTCCACATGGCATTAATATATGTCAAATGGTGCCTATGTGGCATGATGACATGGCGGGTCATCACTGTTGGCTTGTGATATTTTATCATGTTTAGAACTCTTATATATCTCTATTGCTTCTCCCATATTGCCAATGTATAAATACATGAAGTAAACAATTTTATGAGTTCTGGAATAAAAGTAATAAAGAATATATATCTTGAGTTATTACATACCAATAATATAAAGAATATATATCTTGAGTTATTACATACCAATAATATTATATGTTTAAGATCATAAATTTCAAAAGTCTTTATAATAGGCGAGGAAATGGATCTCTTATGGGTGGCTATGGCCACTTATAATTGCACATAAGGAATCACAAATTTCTTTTCGTTCTTAAACTCTATTCAAGTCAAATTATATCACATAAAATTGGAGTATACTAACGTTCAATTTGTTCACGCAATATTAATTATATATGCATGTTACATACGATCTACAACCTTTACCAGAAAACCATTAGTCATTTTTGAAGTGGAATTTGAGAAGAAAACAGGTTCAGGATGTTCCTCCACCACCGGCGCCAGCACAAAGTGAAACCTGCCTAAGACGGCAGCGACCACGCTTTTGATATGCGTGAAAGCAATCTCTTTCCCTAAGCAGATTCTTGGACCTCCATGAAACACTGGGTATGTGAACGAATCCCTAGCCACGAAGGTCCATTCCCGGCCATTTTCGTCTGATCTCTTCAGCCACCTCTCAGGGCGGAACTCCGGCCAATCGGAACCCCATAATTCCAGCGACCTCCCCATTGCATAAGTATGATAGAAAACAGCCATCCCTTTTTTCACCTTTGTACCATCAGGCAACACATCGTCCTCTGTAGCTTCCCTTCCACCAAAAGGGACTGGAGGGTGAAGTCTCAAGCTTTCACAAATTGAAGCATGGGTATAAATCATGTCCCTAATATTACTACTCTTTTTCTCCTTCACTTCTATAACAATTCTATCTTCCACATCTGGGTTTTTCAAGACTGACCAGAAATACCATGTTAAAGCTGTAATGACAGTATCCTGAGCGCCCAGAAGGAAGTTTATGGAGGAATCAATAAGGAACTCGTCATCATCAAATTTTCCTTCTGGATCATTCATTAAGCCAGATAAGAAATCTGATGCATGATAATGATGATGATCAGTACCACTACTACTACTACTACTTGTAACCTTCCGCCTGCTTATGATTATTTCTCTAATAAATCCTCGGATTTCAGAGATGTCACGTTTGAGTCTCCTTTCGGAGCCCATGTTGAAAAATCGTTTGGCTTTCCAAAAAAATGAAAAGATCCTCTTCATGCTGATCTCAAATGCAGACTCGAAAGCATCGGCGAAATGGGTGGGTGGAAACTTAGGTGAATTGGATAAGTAGGCTAGGTCGTGGCCGAGTGCCATTTGAACTGCAGTGTCGAATGTGAATCTGCGTAGGATGTCTCCAAGGTCAACGACAGTATTATTGGCAGCTGCCTCAGAGAGAAGTGGGAGGAGACGATTGGAAATTTCATTTTCCGGAACAACGAAATTGGCAAACTTATGGAATGGTCTGGAATTGAATTCATGGCTAGCCCATTGTCTAAGTTTTCTCCAGCGTTGGCCATCTGCTAGGAAAACGTTTTCTCGGCACATGTCGTGAAGAACGACTCCGAATTTTCTGTGTTTGTGGTAGATTCCAAAGCGAGTCTTGAGAATGTGCTGAACATTGGCAGGATTAGAGGTGAGGATGTGAGGGTGTCGCCGTAGAGGCAAATGGAGGAAAAAGGTGGAGGAGGGTGATTTGTTAACAACCTCACACATCCATTCAACTATATTCTGATTGCGATTTCTTAGGATTGCTACAAGATGACCCAACAGAGGATATGGTCTTGGAAGTGCATCCTTATCATTATCATAAAACTTATTTCTCCCAAAGTAGATGGAAAACAAGAGAAGCAAAGCTGGTAGGGAAAACAGCCAATAGAAAGCAAAAACATATTCCCCCATTGCTTAATTAGCTGATCCGACAAAGAATATAGAGACGATGATGATCGATAATCTTCAGACTACCAAGTACTAGTTTATATATATAGGCTATTTTCCCCAACCAATCTAACAGATAAAACGAGCAACTTTAATTAGTATTTTTTTATTACAACATTGTCAATTAAACACTATGATTAATTTGTTACCCTTATTTCTATCATTATGTGCATGTGATTACACCACTAGAAATTCGCAAAAACCCGTCCACAAAAACCGATCGACCAAAGTAGGTCGGTAATGGCCAATAACCGTCCAAAACGCGACCATTAACGTGTGGTCGTATTTTGAAGGTAAGAAGAGCATACTGACCAAAATCGGTTGGAAATTACCGACCAACATTGGTCGGCTACACGACCATCTGACAATTTAATCGACTTACCGACCAAAATTGGCCGGAACATTATTTTAATAATTTAATTTTACCGAGCAAACTTGGTCGGTGCATTAAATTTATTAATTTTGCTTACCGACCAATTTTGGTCGGTATTGGAAAATATATTTTTTTATAAATAATTAACATTTAAAAATACCGACCAACTTTGGTCAGTACTGGATAGTATATTTTTTTATAAATAATTAAAATTTAAAAATACCGACCAACTGTGGTCGGTAAACTGGACACAGCAGGCAACGAACCGACCAACTTTGGTCGGTAATGTTGAATTTCTGGGAATTCATTGTACATTAACCGACTAACATTGGTCGGTAATGTGCAATTTAAATTATTCTTTTATTAGTTACCGACCAAGGTTGGTCGGTTTTCTGGGTTTAATTATAGCAGAAAATGCCTATTTTGGTAGCTACACCACATGCCAAATAAAAACAGCATACCAATACCCCCAATTCACATTTACAACCACCAATTAACCACATACAACCCCTAATTCACCACGAATTCAACCAAATATGCAACAACAACAACAACAACAACAACAACAACAACCAAACATCCAATTAATACTTTAAAACTAACAAATTAAAGTTCAATTGAAAATCACTATCCAAAATGAAGCCAAAACAAATTACAACAAGTTCAAAATTGTTCAATCTAATTCAAAACTAGTTCTATTACTCTATTTCAAATTATATCAAAGTATTGGTCAAGGGGTATTTTCTACAACATCATCACTATCTGATGAACTTTTATCTACAAGACGGTAAAGAGAACGGCCTTGTGGAGGGCGAGAAGAACGATCACGGGGAGGACGGGAGGAACGATCATGAGGAGGACGGGAGGAACAATCACGTGGAGGTCGAGCCTCTGGCGATGACTCACGAGACCGGGGCAACGGAAAAGCTCCAGCAGAAAGGAGAGTTCTGATCTGAGCTTGCATTCCAAGGAATTGAGCATATCTAAGCCTTTCTCTTCCTTGGCCGCATTTAGCTCGGATGTAAGGTTTGTCACTATCTCCCGTATAGCCGAGAAGCTCTCCCTACTAAGTTCCTCGACTGTGAGAAAGTCCCTATTCCTTGCATTCTACTCCTATAGCGATGAAATTTTTTCGCAGGAAGCCTTTATACCTTCCCCCATTTTGGAGCGCCAACAGCCTCCGACCATATTCTTTCAGCATCCTCGTCCGAAGGTTGGGTTGGCTTGCCCAATTCACCAGCTGGCTGACTACGAATGAATTCCTCCATGTTACTTTGGTAGCGACCCAACATTATTTTAAATTAAATTAGTATTTAAAAATTCTTATAAAAGTGAATTATAACACTTAAAGAAAATTGAAAGCTTACATATGTAGCCTCTGCTCGGTCCTCGACCAACCTATCTCCATCCCCCTCTTTCTTCTTCTTTAAAATATGCGTCTTCTTAAATAGCTCATCATGGCTCATTGGACACTCATACTTCTTTTCCTGAAAACAAATTAATTTAGTTAATAAATAGAATTGATATATTTAGAAAAGTAAAATAATTTAATAAATTACCAATCTTCTTTTTATTGTTCGGATGATGATAGCACCCCAGTGTGCAAGGAGCCTCCCTTCTCGGATGAGCGAGCTTTCTTTCCTTTATTAGTCCACACAAAGTAATTCTCTATAAACTCCTTCCTATAAAGAGGAAGCTTAACTTCCCCCGGTTCTTTTAACTTCACACAATCGCACTTGATACAAGGGCACCTAATTACTCATTCAATTTGGTATGATGAAAATAACATTGCATGTCTAATAAAGTCATCAACCTCTTCTACAAAATCCTCCTGCAATTCCCGCCGATTAGAATAATTTCTATTGTACATTCAAGTACGATGTTCCATTAAAAAAAAGATATTTCCATAAGTATTACAACTACTTAATTTATTCTACAATTATAAATTAATTAAATTATTTTTAGTTAATTAAGATAATTATTTTTTAATAATTACACCCAAAAGGTTCAACAATTATCCCTAAAAGTTCAATTCACATCCAAAAAGTTCAACAATTACCCCTAAAAGTTAAATTCATATTCTAAAAGTTCAACTCATACCTTAAACAATTTAATTAATACCCGAAATAATTCAATTGACCTCACACAACATAAGCTCCACCACTTATTTCAACACTTACCCCTAAAAATTCTATTCCTACCCTAAAAGTTCAATTCACTAGAACAAATCCTAAAAATACAATTCAATTAAAAGTTAAACATTCAATTTCTAACAAAACTACACAGGTCAGTACAAACTTAAACATTGAATTTACACCCTAGATAGTCAATTCAATTCAATTCAATTTTAACATGACCTAAACCCTAGATTTCAATAAAATTGAAATTTAAACAATAAATCAAATCGAAACCTAGAATTTTTAGGAGGTGGAGGGAGAGCGATAGTGGCGGGAGTGGAGGCGTTGCAACTGACAGCGGCAGCGGCGGGCGGGCAGGCAATGGCGACGTTGGGTGGAGAATGGGATTTGTGTAAGGGAAATAGAGAAGGAGAAGGGGAAGGGTGTTGTGTGTGAGAGGGAGAAGATAGTGAGGAGTTAGAAAATTTTGAGAAGACAGTAAGAGAAATGAGGGGAAAATCCTATATTTGGGATCTGGAATTAGAATTATCGACCAACGTTGGTCAATAAATTTGGTTGGTACACTAAGTGACGGGCCTTGACTGTATTTTGACTATTAACCGACCAACTTTGATCGGTTATTTAAAAAAAAACTAAATTCTTTTTTTTTATTTCTTAAAATATTATAAACTATACAAATATTATTATAAACTATAACCATTTATTTTATTCACATATATATTAACTATAAATAATTATAAACTATAAGCATAATCATTATAAATAATTATATTAACTAATTACTTTTAATAAATTATAAGCATCTATCTAAGTTAATTTTCTAAGTTATAATTAAATATATGAGTAATTTCACACAAACACACACACACACACACACACACACACACACTATATTGTAATTGATGATCAATCATATACATTACTACGTACGAAAACTTTATCAATTGGTAAATCAATATTATTCTATTGTAGATATGTTTAGTCGATTGTAATATTAACTCGTTTACTTAATGCTAATAACTTCTTTCGTTTCTTTAATTTGTGATCCATATATACATGTCAAAGATGTTTGGTATTAATTCTTTTATATTTCATTCATTCATCACTAATAATGCATGGCATAGATTAATCGATATAGGTCGAGACGTTTTATTTTTAATATTCATCGATATAGGTCGAAACATTTTGTTTTATTTTTAATATTCATCGATGCATCTAAGTAAGTTATAAGTCGATGAATCAATTTACAAATAGATATATTTGATCGATGATCAATTATATATACTAGTTAAATTATTGCTTCTTCACAAGTCTATCCCCAAAAGAACCCAACCCTGTGGCCCTAGCGCTTCGTGTATTTATATATATGCGGCTATACATATACATATATATATGCACACACACGCACTTCGTTGTACTACTTTAACTATATATAGCTTGTTATAGTATATGGTAATGTATTCATTACTTGTATTATACAATAAAGTGTTAACTGATTATATTTATATTATTTAGATAGTAAATATTAATGTGATTCAAAAGTTTGACCACGTTTGACCTATTAACCGACCAAAGTTTCAGAAATTATTATACTGACCAAAGTTGGTCGGTATAATCTTCTCCTACAATAACCGACCAACTTTGGTCGATAAACTTAACTATAAATTTACAAATATTATAAAAATTTTTAAATAATAATATAATTATTAAAGTGGGTCCACATTACCGATCATTGTTGGTCGGTAATCAAAAAGGTGTTTTGACTAATCAAGTCTGACCACCGCGGTCAAATATTTGACCAATATACCAACCAATTTCGGACGGCATGTAACTTAAAAAAATGTAAAATATTTTGTTTGTAGTTTCCGTTTTGGATGGTTTTTTTGGTCGATTTTATTGACCGACCAACGTTGGTCGGTATGGTTTGGTCGGTTTTTCCCGGATATCTAATATCATGAATTTGTTTCACCGATATGCGTTTTATCTCTACTTCAATTGAATTTCCTTGCTTTATATGTTTTCGGAGTCAGCGCCTATCTTGATCCTTTTTGGTACGTCGCCAAGCTTCTTATCGACACTTAAAATGTAAAGCAAGACTAATATTAAATAAATAAATGCTGACAGAGGAAAATTAGGATAATATAAGAGGAAGATCTTAGACCAAGATTTTCGTTGCGAGTTTTTTGCGCGCAACCACATTGTGTTGTAATATGCGGCAAATATTTTCAATATTATTATACTTACAAATAAAGCTTTTCACTTATGTCTAAATTCCAAGCAACAAAAGGAATTTTTTTGAATAAAAAGGCAATAAATGCTAACGTGATAAAGACATATATAGTGCTTGCGATTGGATGGATGCCATTACGGTTGATTTGGATGGCAAAGGACACTACTACTTTAAGAACAGTCAATTTTTTTTTTTAAGAAAAAAAAAGTCTTTTGGAATCATG